GGTTTATTGCACAATTTGTGCAACCTAACAAAAGACAAAAGCGCACCCCCCATCACAGAGGATATGGAAATACCAGCAGATGATACGTTTGATATCACTAATGCTCCAATATCAAACAATGAAAACATTTATCGAAAACGCTTACACATACAAATTTAAATGTAATAATACAAACAGGTATTCACACCTTGCTGCTTGTATTTACAAATTATTATTCTCCAGTGTATTTTATTCTTGTAAACTGAATAACAAATCTATACCTGAGTGGAAGATCAACCTATCTCAGCAGCCAGTTCAAAAACGCCCTATATCAGAAAACTTTTCAAGAACGCCCTACTTCAGAATTTGATTGAAGAGCGCCCTATTTCAGAATTTGATTCAAAAACGCCCTATCTCAGCACATTTTCAATATACTTTCATTTGAGATAGGGCGTTTTTGAATCAAATTCGGAAATAGGGCGTTCTTCAGCAATCAAATTCTGAAGTAGGGCGTTCTTGAAAAGTTTTCTGATATAGGGCGTTCTTGAAAAGTTTTCTGAGATAGGTCGTTTTCGAACTGGCTGCGAAGATACATAGGTCCATCTACCACTAAGGTGACAAAATATAGTCACATAAATCGTTTTTGTTAAATTAATAAAATTTTTAATGTACAGACTGCGATAAAACGATAGAGACGCAACATTCTGCTCAGTTTTGTCTATTTTTCTTTTGTTTGTTTAATGTAAACCATTTTTTTATGAATGTATATCTCATTATCTAACAAAAACCCCAAAACTCCCAATTGCAAAAATTATAGAAATTCGACAAAGTTTCATAAAAATTTTAAACTTTTTAATTACATTTTCTAAAAACAAATTTGGTATGCACTTTTATAGCCCATTGAATTTTGGTATAATAAACTTAAAGTGTAAAGTTACTAAAAAATTCTGTTGCTGTTTGACAATTTTTTTGGCTGAGATTTCCATTACGGAACCAATTGCTATTCCGTGCAAAGTATAGTGAATTTTTTTATGAAACTCGGTGGGGATACTAATGGAGGTCTCCTTTAACTATATTTATCACTTTCACAATGTTGTTGCTAATAGTACTTAAGTTATTTGTTGTTAAAATATCCCGCCTGCTATCACAACATTTTGTTATAACTCCACACCTATCACTTTTATTTACACAAATATATTATCCTTAAAAGGTTCGCATGCGTTTGTAATACCTTAATATACAATTATTAATTAATTAATTAAGTAAAACGAGTTTATAAATGTCTTCACAAACGTTTGCACATTTCACAAACAAGCAG